AGCCACCAGTCTTCTTGCAGTGAGTCCCTTTCCATGTACTATGCAGGGCACTAGTGAGCCCTTCCAATCTCCAAATTCACATCCTTCGGATCTGGGAAATCTCTCCTCTCTCCAACTGGAATTCCTATTATTTGGATGTTAGATATCCTGAACTGGTTTTCTAATATTCTAAACTCTTCTCCTATTTCTGTCATTTTGACCTATCTTCTAAAAAAGTTCTCTATCGGGGCGCCTGGGTGGCTCAGTTGGTTAAGCGACTGCCTTCGGCTCAGGTCATGATCCTGGAGTCCCGGGATCGAGTCCCACATCGGGCTCCCTGCTCAGCAAGGGGTCTGCTTCTCCCTCTGACCCTCTTCCCTCTTGTGCTCTCTGTCTCTCATTCTCTCTCTCAAATAAATAAATAAAATCTTTAAAAAAAAAAAAAGTTCTCGATCTTCCAGTCTTTTAGATAAGTCATTATTTCTAATTATCAAGAATCACTTTCTGTTCACTACATACTCCATTTTTATGAAATCCTCCATTTTTATGAAGTCCATGAAATCCAAGATTATCATGACTGTAATCTTGGTCTCTCTCAGGATATTAAAAACAGGTTTATTTTTAAATATTTTTCTCTAGTGTATATTGTCTCCCTCAGTGGTCTTATTTGTTTTGGCCTCTCCTTTCATGTGGCTCAGAAGTCTGATGAACCTTGTCTGCTCATATTTAAGAATAAAGCACTGGGACGTCAGTTGATTAGGGCTTCCAACTCTTGGTTTCATTTCAGGTCATGATCTCAGGGTTGTGACATCAAGCCCCACATAGGATTCCACACTCAGCGTGAAGTCTGTTTGTCCCTCTGCTCCTCCCCCCACTCGCATACGCTCTCAGTCTCTCCCAAATAAATAAAATCCTTGGGGGAGAAAAAAAAAGAACAAAGCACTAAACATGCTAATGTGAAGCCCAAGAGTGTGTAGGTGGCGGCTGACAACTTCTTACTGGGTAATCCAGCCAGGTCTTTCATGGAGGACACCCTACTGCTGGCTTCTGTGGGGCTTTCCTCCTGGGCTAGACAGACTCCCCAGATAAGACTCTTCTCATCTCCTTGGCTGTCCAAGTGAAGAGAGATGGGAGCCTGTGAGCACTCACCCCATCCTCTACTTCACCAGGCCACAGCCTCTGTTTCACTCTCTGGAGAACAACCCTTTTATTTATTAACAGAAAGTGAACAGAAAGTGATTCTTGATAATTAGAAATAATGACTTATCTAAAAGACTGGAAGATAGAGAATTTTTTAGAAAATAGGTCAAAATGCCAAAATAGGAGAAGAGTTTAGAATATTAGAAAACCAGTTCAGGATATCTAACATCCAAATAATAGGAATTCCAGTTGGAGAGAGGAGAGATTTCCCAGATCCGAAGGATGTGAATTTGGAGATTGGAAGGGCTCACTAGTGCCCCGCATAGTACATGGAAAGGGACTCACTGCAAGAACACTGGGAACAAAGATCCCACACATTTCACAGGATGGTAAGCAGTTCACACGCAAGGGGACAAGGAGAAGAACTTTAGACTTCTCAGAAGCAGCATTAGAAGCTGGAAGACAATGGAACAATGACTTAATCATTTTTTTTTTTTAATAAATTTTTTTAAAGATTTTATTTATTTATTTGACAGAGAGAGACACAGCGAGAGAGGGAATGCAAGCAGGGGGAGTAGGAGAGGGAGAAGCAGGCTTCCCAGCAGAGCAGGGAGCCCGATGCGGGGCTCGATCTCAGGACCCTGGGATCACGACCTGAGCCGAAGGCAGACGCTTAACGACTGAGCCACCCAGGCGCCCCATGACTTAATAATTCTGAAGGATAGTTTTCACCTAGATTTCCTTATTTAACCAAACTATGAGAGCAAAGGTAAAATATCCAGACTTACGTAGTCTCAAAAATACTACCTCCCATTCACCTTTTCTTTGCAAGCTGCTGGAGAGGCCATGTGCCACCTAAATAAAGGAGTGAAGCAGTGAGAAAGGCTAAGTTGGAAATAAGAGATGTGCCATAGGAGAGGAGAGAACAGGGCCCGGGATGCCAGTGTGCAGCAGGCCTAGAGAGCAGCCTGTCCAGGCCAGGGCAGGTCTCACGACTCCAGGAGAAGTTGCTCCCAGATAATGTGATGAATGGGATAACAGGAGTTTAAACACCAAGAGGAAAAGACATTTGGGAGGAGAGGGTGGCTTTGAGACAGTGATAAGTACATAGAAGACTAAGCAAATGGGGAAAATGACTACTTCTAGGGGTGGGAAGAATACTATATAGAAGAAAGGAAAGCTAATCATAGTTTATTATGTGGGTAAGTAATGGATGGCATTTCTTTTGTAATGATGCAGACATTGAATATTAATGTAACCAAAATGTCCAATAGTCCACATTGGGAGAGGGGGGAATGACAAGGTGTGTGGTTTGGTAGGAAGGCCATAGTAAGTAAGCGGAAAAAGGCCATAGAGCTGGAAAATCAAGACCCAGCAAAGGAAGCTGTTTGTTTAGTGCTAGGAAGACAAATACTGAAAGAATCAACTAAACAACTCGAAGTGGCCGTCTTTGGGTAGGTGGAACTAGGAGGAACGCAGCATGTATGCATATGCCTTGTGCAAGTATGTGGGACTTGGAATTGTGTGCACGTTTCATTTTGAGAAAGATGAAATTAAAAAAAAAACCACTTCAAAAGTTAAGTAGTATGGAAGATATAAAATCAAGTTTATCAGCTGTTATAAAAAATTATATTGAATGCAAATACTTTATTTTACTAAATGTAAATGGGCTGAATTCCACTGTTAAAGAACAGAGGCTGTCAGATTGGGTTATTCAACCATTTTGCTATAAGCACCTATTGCCCTTTATTCTAGGAAAGCATCTGATTGGGCTTTGTTGTTTCTCCTATTTGATCACATCTGTGGAACGGCTTGTCAAAGTTCTCTGCCTCCCCTACTCAGGGAATTAACATGTGACTCTGAGCTAGGCCCTTAGGACACTGGAAACTTATTCTTGATCTTAGCAACATAAAGTCTAAAAATTTTATTCTTGATCATAGCAACATAAAGACTGAAAATAGTTGGGACTGATCCATCCCAGGTATAATAATATGAGGAGACAGTCCATCTGCTCCTGCCACCTGGAGCCCCCAGCTGCCTGGTTCCTCTTCTTTCCAGGAAAACTAGAAGTTTTCCTGCTGGTTCCCTCTGTCTCATGAATTCCTTTTCAGTTTTAACCAGTCAGTCAATTTCAGTTGCTTATAACGAACTGTATCTGATAAGATTAAACCTCAAATAAGATTCAGCTGATACACACACACACACACACACCCCTTTAATTTTAATCTTTATTTGTCTCTTATATGTAAGTTTGTAATAAATCAGTAAGTAAGTAAGGCAGGTAAAAACAAAAAGAAAGTAGAACTTAAGGTCCACAAAACAGAATTTAAGCAGAGAAACATTAAAGACAAAGTGGGTCATTATCTAAAGATAAAAGGTGTGATTCATAAGGTAGGTGTAACAGTCTTATACGAACCCGAAAATCTTAGACAAATACAAATATATAATGAAAAAACTCTTAAAAACTGAGAAGATGTAATCAATAAAAAAAGTACATTTGTAGTGGGGGATTTTAATTTATCTATTTCAGAATTTAACGGATAAAATAGAATATGGAGATATACACATCATTATAGAAATAAGTAGAAAATGTGAATAGGGAAAGTCCATGTGATAAATAAACCTCTGAAAAGATGCTCAACCACATTTAGGGGAATGCATGTTAAAGTAACAATAAGAAATCCATCATACTGGCCAAAATTCAAGAATTACAACATCCAGTGCTAGGGAAAATATAGGAAGAAAATAGGTACTTTCAAAAGCTATATGGAAATGTAAATTATTATAATAATTTTTTTCCTTTTTTTGAGAGAGAGTGTGTGTGTATGTGTGTGCACGTGTGCATGCAAGCATGGAAATAAGGGCAAAGGGAGAGTGAGAGAGAGAGTCTTAAGCAGGCTCCACACCCAGTGCAAAGCTTGTCATGGGGCTCAGTCTCATGATTCTGAGATCATGACCTGAGCCAAAATCAAGAGTCCAATACTTAACTGACTGAGCCACCCAGGTGCCCTTATTTTTTTAAAAAAATATTTTATTTAAAAAAAAAAATTATTACAATATTTAAATCATTACAATAAATTCAATATTTAGAAGGAAGTAACCTTTAAATATCTCTTAACTGTAAATGCTTATATCCTTTGACTCAGCAATTGAAATTTTGGGAATCTGTCCTATAGAAACAATAGAATTAGAATGTACTGGATATGCATATAGAAATTTTTGTTACAACATTGTGTGGAGTTGCCAAAAACAGGAAAACCTGACTAGTCATAAGTGGAATAATTCTGAATGAAATTGAAATGCATCCATACTACGGAATGTTACTCAGTTGTTAAGGGAGTTGGCACTAACTGTAGACATGGATGTATCATTGACTAGGAAAGCAAGTGGTAAAATAACATGTCTGATTTAACCCATTTCTATAAAATATATAATAGAAACCATGTGTGTGGTATATATGTATCTATGAATATTCACATGAGCATGAAGAAAGGTGTGGAAGCATCAACCAGGCTGTTACCAATTGTCACTTTAGGGGGGTGGGATGGAGAAGGAGATTGTGAATTTCTTTCACTTTCTATAATCATATGATACTTTTGTCATTAATGAAAAATTAACAACAGATCAAGTAAAAATATTATCAGAGTAAGGCATTTTCTAGGAAACATGTAGTATTTAATCAGCAACAACCTGGAAGTCTTAAGTGGTGAAGAAATCGATAGGTATGTTTTCCTGTGAATCACAGCAGCATTTGTTTTTATTCTCCGTGATCAGGATTTGTAGTGTGTTATCTTATATTTTAATTAAAGTGAGGGCTACCCATTCTATGCTGTTAATAAGGTTCTGTTGTGATACTTCTAAACTATTTTTGCTTTTGACAGGACTGTCTTCATCAGTGGAATACAATATAATGGAGTTGGAACAAGAACTTGAAAATGTGAAGACTCTTAAGACAAAATTAGGTACTGTACATTTTTGTTCCTGACTCATGTACTGGTCTTGGATTCTTTCCAAAGACTTGCCTGTAGTCTGAAATATTAAAAAAAGTTATGAAATCTTTAGGGTATGTTACAAGCTTCCAGTCTGTCCAAAGTTATAGGTACAGACTGTTTTTTAGTTTGGAGAGAAGATAAACATGTATGTACTCCCATTTTTGTTTTGTTTTGTACGTGCATAAAAGGACTTTTCAGATGCTGATGTTCAGAGATGTCACTCAGTTGTCTCTTCACTTGCATTATTTCTGACGAGTAATCTGTCCTCCTCATCCTTTGAATTGTCTTTTTTCTGTCTCTGCTTTTAAGATGTCCTCTTTGTCACTGACTTTGAACAGTTTGATTCAGATGTGCTTTAGAGTAGTTTTCTTTATGTTTCTTATTCATTGGCTTCATTGAGTCTCTTGGATCTGGGAATTTATAGTTTTCGTCTAATTTGGAACATTTTTGGCCATTGTTTTTCCAAATGTTTTTTTCTTTTCCTCTCTGTGCTACCCTTTCAGGGACTCCAGTTACATGTACACTGGCCCACTGGAAGTTGTCCCCCAAACTCACGGATATTCCTTTATTTTTCAGATGTTTTTCTCTGTGTGTTTCATTTTGCATAGTTCCTCTTACTATATCTTCATGTTCACTACTTTTTTCTTTTGAGTATCTAATCTGCATTTAATCCCATCTATTGTATTCTTCTCAAACACTGCAGTTTTTTTTATTATTGTTTTTAAATAGGCTCCACGCCCAGTGTGGAGCCCAGCGCAGGGCCTGAACCCACGACCTTGAGATCAAGACCTGAGCTGAGATTGAGTCTGATGCTCAACCGACGTAACCCAGGCATCCTCAGACACTGCAGTTTTTATATTTATAAGTTCTGTTTAGACCTGTTTAGTCTGTGTCCTCCACTTTTTAAAAATATGGAATATATTATAATAACACAATGTTTTTATAACTTCTGTGTTAGTTCTTGATAGATTTTGATTGATTGACTTTCCTCCTCATCATTGGGTATATTTTTGTGCTTTTATGCGTGCCTAGCAATTTTTGATTGGATAGTGGACACTGAGAATCTTACTGCTGGGTGCTGATATTTTTGTATTCCTGTAAGTGTGGAACTTTGTTCTGGGTTGCAGTTAAGTTACTTGGAAGCAGTTTGATATTCTTGGGTTTTGCTCTGAAGGCTTGTCAGGCAGGGCTAGAGCAGCATGTCCTCTAGGGCCAGTTGTTCCCACACTAAGGCAACAATGCTTGTCATTTATGAGGTCTCATTCTTACCTTGTGGGAGTAGGCCCTATTCTTGGCCCCTTATAATGGTTGGATACTCCTGCTCCATGGGTGGTTCTTTCTTCAGGGGTGGGTTGTTTGTTCATGTACCTGAGCTGATCTTTACCCTACTGAAGACTCAAGGATGACCCTTTGAAGATCCGTGGAGTTCTTTCTCTGAGGACTTTTGTCTGTGGTACTTTGCTCTGTATAGTCCAGCTAACTTGGTCTCTCCACACTCCCATTTTATGTCCTCAACTCAAGGAATGAGTTGGGCTTTGCTTGGGTTCCTGTGCCCTCTACTGTGGTCAGCAAACTGTCGCAAGACAGTAAGCAGGAGCAAACCCAGGGCTTGCCTTGTTTGCTTCCCATCTCTCAGAGATCTTTAGTCTTGACAGTGTTTCATATGCATGTATTTTTTGTTTCCTAATTGTTTCAGCCTGGATGGAAAATTGGTCCCTATTATTACTCTGTTTTCAGAAATGAAGTCCAGTGTTTTATTGTTGAAAATTTATTCATTTTCATTTTTCTTTTTGTATTGAAGTATAATTACCATGCAGTGTTATATAGTGATAGTTATATAGTGATTTAGCAATTCCATATATTACTCAGTGCTCATCATGGTATTTTACCCATCCTCCACCCACTTCCTCTGCCAGTCATCAGTTTGTTCTCTGTATTTAAGAGTGGTTTTTTTGTTTGTCTTTTTTTACTTGTTTTGTTTCTTAAATCCCACATGTGAGTGAAATCATATGGTATTTGTCTTTGTCTGACTAACTTACTTCACTTAGAATAGTACACTCTAGCTCTATCCATGTTGTTGCAGATGGCAGGATTCCATTCTTTTTCGTGGCTGAGTAATATTCCTGTGTGTGTGTGTGTGTGTGTGTGTGTGTGTGTGTGTGTAAATGTATACAAATCACATCTTTATCCATTCATCTGTGGATGAACACTTGGGTTATTTCCATGTCTTGGCTATTGTAAATTAATGCTGCAATAAACATTGGGGTGCATATGTCTTTTTGAATTAGTGTTTTTGTTTTCTTTGGGTACCCAGTTTTGGAATTACTGGATTGTTTGGTAATTCTCTTTTTAATTTTTTGAGGAACCTCCATATTGTTTTCCATGGTGGCTGCACCGGTTTGTATTCCCACCAACAGTGTATGAGGGTTCCTTTTTCTCTACATCTTTGCTAACACTTGTTATTTCTTGTGTTACTGATTTTAGTTATTCTGACAGGTGTAAGGTGATATCTTATTGTGGTTTTTATTTGCATTTCCCTGATGATGAGTGATGTTGAGCATCTTTTCCTGTGTTTGTTGGACATCTGGATGTCTTCTTTGGAAAAATGTCTATTCAAGTCTTTTCATTTTTTAATTTGGTGCTGGGTTGTATAAGTTCTTCATATATTTTGGATATTAACCCTTTAGTGGATATATCATTTGCAAATGCGTTCTCCAATTCTGTAGGTTGCTTTCATTTTCATTTTTGTAAACAACATCATATTGTCTCAAGTTACTTTATTCATTCTGCTGTTGGTGGATATTTGATGTGTTTCTCTTTTGTTATTATGAATAATATTGGTATAAACATTGTTCTCCATACCTCTTGGTACACGTTTTTTCAGGGTACATACCTGGAAGTGGAATTATAGGATCATTGAGTATGTGAATATACAGCTTTCTAAAATAATGCCAAATTGTTTTCCCAGGTAGTTGTATTATTTTGCATTTGTTTTAGGCATGAGTAAGACTTCCTGTTGCTCAGCATCTTTGTCAACAATTGACAGTGTTGGACTCTACATTTTTACCAGTTTAGTGGTTGTGAAGTGGTTTTCACTGGTGTTTTAATTTATATGTCCCTGATTTGTGTTTCCAGTGTTCATTTAGCTTCTGCTTGAAAAACATCTGCTAGCATTTCATTAGTGCTTGTTTGTTGGCAACGAATTCTCTAGTTTTTGTTACCTGAAAACATTTTTACTTGCCTTCTCATTGGTAGGGCATTTTTACAGAATTAAGAATTCTTATCTGGTAGTTTTCAACATTGAAAAAATGTCTTTTTAGTGTCTTCTGGTTTCTGGTTAAAAGTTGTATTGTTGCCCTTTTGAAAGCTTTTAAGATTTTCTTTTTGTCTTTGTTTAGTAGTTCTACCATGATGTGCTCAGGTTTGGTTTTCTTTGTGTTTATTCTTCTGAGATCTGTGGCGCTTCGTCAGTGTGTGGCCTAATGTCTTTTATCCATTTGGGGACTTGCTGGCCATCGTCTCATCAAATGCTGCTTCTGCTCCTTTTCTTTTTAGTTCCTTTGACCTTAGCTGCACATGTGCTAGACCTTTTCACTCCTGTATTGTTTTCTGAGTTTCCCCTCCTTTATCACGTTCTTTGATCTGTGATATTTTCTATTGATGTGTTTTCCATTTCAGTGTCTTTTCAGCTGTGTCATAACTATTGCTAAATTATCTCTTGAAGTCTTAATTTTAGTTACAGTATTTTTCAGTTCTACAGTTTTCATTCAGGTATTTTCTAGATTCAAATTATGACATTTGCCATCTTGTCACTTACCTTATTGAACATATTAATCAGTTATTTTAAGACCTCTTTCTGATAAGTTCAATATCTGGATAAACTGAGTCTGTTTCTATTATCTTTTTTCTTTGTCCTATCTCCAGGGAACATTTGATTGAGTGTCAGGCATTTCTTATACAAAATAAAAACTCTGGATAATGTTTTCTTCTTGAGAGGATTTACTTTTTCTTCTGGTAGACAGTTAGAGTAGGGACAAATCCTTTCATCTGTCTGGGCTGGTGATAGTTCCAGAGTGGGTTTTGGTCTTCTTGAGAGTCGGTGGCTTTGCAGTTTGGCCTTGCTCCTAGTGTATAGCTTTCCTAAGTGAAAGCCTGGGTGTTTTGTTGTTGACTATGATACCATCTTCTTTATGTACCCTGAACTTTAGTTTTTATCTCAAGAAATGTGAGCCTGACAGAAGCTTTGCTCCTTCTCTTTGCTGTACCTTCTAGTCACTTTCTCAGCCTGCTGGCCACTGGTGCCTTGCAGGGCAAGAGGCTGAATGTTAGGCTCCCTTCTTTTTTCTTTCCTTTTCTCTGTGATCATAGCCTCTCAAATTTTGGCTGCCTTGGTAGCCCCACGCTCCAGTTTTTGTTTTCCTGATGCTGTTGAGTTTGCTGAAAGCATTGCTTTAGCATCATTTTCTTTCACCCACTGATATTTGCTTGATTTCTCAGCTTCGTGGGGCCATGTCATTTTTTTGTTGGAAGACTCTGAGGGAAAGATAGTGCAAATGTGAGGGCTCACATCAATCCATTTCACAGAGTATTGACCTCATAGTTTTGTTGCGGTAGCTCTGTGATTCCTTCATGTATTTTTTTTTCTTAGTTAAGTTTGATTTGTTTTTACCAGTTGTTCATAGCATGAGGATTGGTGTGATAATCAGGTAGATCACTGTAGCCAGAAGTTTGCTTCCACCTTTAGAAAACTGGAGGTATTTATCTTTGGATTAAAGGGGATTTTTACTCATGTTAATTAACTTCATTCACTCAAATCTATATCAATGTGTAAATCTACATCAAATACAAATATTTCTATATTTTCATAGTAAACCATGTATTAACAGTACATTTTGTTAGCAACTGAAATGTCTTTACAGAGCTAAAATGTAAGCATCATAGGATTGAGCTATTTAATGTAGCAAAGTGATTTTTAAACTCTGATTTTTATAGTTTTTGGAGGAAAATTAAAAATAATTTATGTTTGTGAAAAAGAAATTATATAAAAATAATACATACTGATTATAGCAGTAAGGAATGAAAATATGGGTCTGGAGAGAATTTTTGGAAATCTTTTGTTGTATTTTGTTTTTTTTCCTAATAGAGAGGCGAAAAAAAGCTTCAGCATGGGAAAGAAATTTGGTGTATCCTGCTGTTATGGTTCTCCTTCTTATTGAGACAGTAAGAATTTATTTGCCTAGTTAAATAAAGCAAATTATTTTTTATTTACTTTGATATTTCAGTATGGCAACTCCCTCAGCTAAATGGTTTCAAGTAAACTGGTTTTCTATCAACAGGATTAAAATCCATCTATACTTTTATTTGGAAAAACTCAATAGAGCAAAAATGGAAATTAATGGCAATTTTTAAAAAGTTCTTAAGATTAACTATTTCCTCATGAAAGCGGACATTTATTATTTTGTGCCATTTAGAATTAAGAGCAAGGTATTGCAGATATCTTGCTTCAGACTATGATGGGATGTGAAAATAATATTATTAAATTAGTTCTAATAACATTTTAACCATTTTTTAAATCTGTGGAGTTGTGGGTTTCCAATTGGGAATCAGTCAGTAACTGGATCTATATTATTAGTTTTAGTCACAAGCTTTGAAATTGTAATAATTTGCAGAAGCTTTTAGAGTTTATTCTGGAGTTTTTGCAGATAGTTTGATTACTTTCGGTTTGTTTGTGTGTAGAATTTTGGTCTTCTCCTCTGTTCTGTAGCGTATATTTGGTTGATAACTTAGATTTTAATACATGTGTACTCACAAAATATCTGTGAAATTCAGAACTGATAATCATTTTTTGTGTTGTAGTCCATCTCGGTCCTCTTGGTGGCTTGTAATATTCTTTGCCTGTTGGTTGATGAAACAGCCATGCCAAAGGGAACAAGGGTAAAGTGCTTTAAATGTCTTTCTTTTGCAAAAGTGTTCTGTATATATACCCAGAGTGTTTCAAATAAGTAATTTAAAACATCACCTTTCTGCACCTTTGTTTCAGGTTGTATGAATTTCTTTATGTAAAGAGCCTTTGTAAACAGTGTTTGTGAACTATGACTTTTGTTTCTAATTTCTTACTTTTGGTTGGCCAGCCCTTTTACCAAATATCAGAGTTTCCTTTTAGATTTTGTATCACAGTTTATTTTAGTTTTACTAAAGTTCATATTTGTAATTCTTTAAGAAAATGTATACTCTGTGAAATAGTGATGTGGAAAGAGTTTATTAGATGGATTCATAGTGTTTGCAAAAGATCCTGATCTGTGGTTGGTAGACTTATGTTTCAGAAGAGTCACACATTTTATGAAACTGAGTCAAATGTTTAGTTACTGGAGGAGAGTCAGATGTACATCTTTTCATGAATTTGTTTTCTCTCTTGTTTAAAGTTGATTCTATTAAATTCTATCTTTTAGCCTATTTAAATATATTCTCCATATAGAAGGTAGTTATCACTAAAGATTCATTTTTGGCATAGTTCTAGGAGTCTCTGTAAACTTTTGATTGCTTAAAGTAGCATTTACATCCTAACATTTTCTTACATTTTTCTAAGTCAGTAGCATTCTTATTCCCCATAGAAAGGACTTCAAAACTCTTCCAGACTTTTAGTGCCGCTTCTCTCTCTGAACCAGAGGATGTATACCTTTCCTCTCATAGAAACAAGCCAACATCAACCTAAATTTCTTCCCTTCAGTCCAAGATGGAGATACCCTGTTCTTTCAAAGCTAATTTTTTTTCAGCCATATTCTCCAGTTAGATCCTGCCCTCCTCTAACTTTTGCTGGACCTTGTGCCTTCTGTTACTGCCCATTGTCTAGCCAGCCAACATGCTTTCCAGGTGCCTCATTCCACAAGCAAGCAATAACACTAAACAGTACTTCATCTGCAACCTAGTCTTAATCTTTTGTTAGACCCAAATTCATTGATAGAGCAGGAAGTTATCTACTGTGTTGGCTTCTATTCACTTTGTAACCCTCTTTTATACATTGCACACTGTGTAAGTCCCAAGCCCCCATAGTACATTTTTGTACCATCCCCTTAGTGTATCATAGAGAGGAACTTATACCTCGTAGGGCCTATGCATGATTGTGTAAATAAATCAGATCATCTTAATTCTGCCTGGAGGATTTCTCTTGAGATAGGGAATATTTCCAAAATGTTTTCACCCAGCCAATAAGCTTTCTATTAGCATTATTCATTTCTTTGTCAAAAGATTGACAAAAAGTTGATAGTTCTTTGACTTGTTTATATATATGAAATTTCCATGAGCATTCTTACTTCTTTATGCCAAAATTAGAATGTATATATGGTATGTATGATATTATTTATTGGTTTATTTTTTACTAACCTGACTATACATTCTTAATTTTCCTGGTATTTTTGTTTGATACAATTAAAGCTGATAGTAGAACAGTAGTTCATATTTGAATACTTCCTTTAACTGGTAAACTTTGAAAATATTCTTCCTACTTTAGTAAGAAATTATTTTTTTGCCTCTTTGGTCTCATTAATAAATACTGGTTTTTCTGCTTGTTGTCTTTTAAGTTCTAGGTAAAGATAGGTTTTGACAATAGGTATAATGTTTTGGAAAAATGTGTAGTGTTACCTTAAAAAAAATCTGTGTTAATTAAGTTGTATCTTTTAAAAACGTCTGAATTCCCAAGGAAGATTTGCGGAAACAAAACTTTCAACTGTAGAAATAGGATATACACATTCACTTTCTTTCTATGCTTAGCCTACTTTGATATATTTTAATTGTATAATTTTATATGTTGTTGTAGGGTTTATTTAAATAATTATATTCTATTCCTGTGGTACTGTTTTAAAAAGAATTTCTTCCAGTAATATTCAGGACTTTTAACAATACGTATAATATCATTTTGATAAGTAAATTACATTTGAGATAAATCGGAGATGTTTTGAGCTTGTTAAAATTATTAACACGTGCTTGCATTAGTTGATGAACGCAATCTAATGTCATGTTTTATTGTCCTTAGAAAATCTAGATGTTATTCTAGGGTATTAAACATTCCTAATTCCTGTATTTATGAAACAGTTTTAGGGAAAGCAAATATATAGTGTCACTGAATTCTGAAAAGCGATTTTTCCCCCCACCCAGGGTCCTGGAATAGGAAATGCTTCTCTTTCTGCTTTTGGTTTTGTGGGAGCTGCACTTGAAATCATTTTGATTTTGTATCCTTTCTTTAACTAAACATTGTTTAACAAATTTTCTGTTTAGTTTTCTGGAACAGTGGTAACTTACTAAGGTACTTGCCTAGAAGGGAAAAACAAATCAGTCTTCCTCAAGCACGCCAAGTGGCTTTTTGTTTTGTTTTTCTTTTGGACCTTAAGAGTTTCTGGAGACTACTGAGAACTTAAGGAAACTTGCATTCTTTGGAGAGTTTTTTCCTTGATTCTCACAGCTATCTTATGGTGTCCTCTGTTGTCGGTTTCTATAGCCTCCGATTTTTTGGAAATTTTATTCCCAAGAAGGATGACACAACTATGACAAAGGTAAGGTGAAGTCTTAGGTGGCTGTGCTTCCCTTTTGCGTTCCAAGGCAAAGGAGCTGTTTTATTTTGTAATCGCCCTGAATGGTTCATTTGCGGTGATAGGTATTTGTTTGTAAATTGCATAAACACAAACTGAAAGATTTTCAAAATGCTGAATGAGTGGGAAAAGGATGTGCTGCTCTGTTTAATTTGGATGGCATCCATTCACTTGTAAATGCATACAACTGCAGAGCTTGTTAACCAGCTACAGAAGTCTACTGAAAGGACTCTTTCTCCTCTAAAAGAAAACGTATTGCTAATGAGTAACTTTGATTGTGCAAACTGTACTTCAGGGAGCTTGTTTGAAATCTGAAGAACTTAGTTGCTACAAGTAGTAGAGACAAAGTATTTCAAATTTGAATAATTAAAGCAAGACGGAAGAGTTCTATTCAGAAACATTTTGTAGTCTGAGGCTAATTTGACTTCCTACAATGTGTCATTGGCTTTGGAATAACAAAGACTGTTACCTTATGTAGTGACTGCATCGTTTTAAAATATTCCCACAGGCTGACCATGAAGAATAAGTAATAAGAGCTGCTGGTTTCTTTTTATTATATATCATATATTTTCAGCCTATCTTAAATTAAAAGGGAAAAGTTATTTTATGTACTTTATTTACCTATCTATAGAATGCTATGCTTGTTGAGATACTTAGCATCTAGTTTAAGTGATCATCAGCATTAATCAGTATTTTCAGCTCCTTTTATTTAATATGAAAGAATAAGCATAGGACACATTGGAAATGAATTATTAGAATTTAGGGGTTTTAGATTTCTAGCTTTTTGGTATTAAATCTTATAATAGTTGAACCTATTAGAAGTAGATATATATCTTGAGCAGTAGTCTGGCTTTAAAAATACAGTCAGAAGTATTAAATGTATTCATTCTATTTTACTTGACAGGCAAACCTTTTTAAAATTGGCAACCTCAATCAATAATGTAAAGTGCATTGTCTGAGGTGTAATTTAAGTGTTCTATAACTTTATATTTGTGCCAGCTACTGTAAATACCTTCTAGAACTTTACAGATGTAACTTTAAATATTTGTAGAAAACGTTTCTTAGTCTCTTTAAATTCTATATTGAGTAATATCATTAAGAAGTTAGCAAAGTACAATACAATAGTACAAGGTAAGTAAAATGCGCAGTAAGTTCCCAGAGTGTGAGTAGATTGATTGCATTGGTCATTCTGCTGTCTGACTGCCCAATATTCTTTGTGATCCCCACACAGATCATTGGGAATTGTGTGTCCATCTTGGTCTTGAGCTCTGCACTCCCTGTGATGTCAAGAACACTGGGTAAGTTTACAGGAGAAATGTCCATTTAAAATCCATACCTTGTTAACATATCTTTCTTAAACTTCTGCCTTAACTTTTAGTTTTTGCACTTTTTCAAAAAGATCATCCTTTGAAATACAGTATTTCCTTTCACATTATTTTATAACTTCTATACTTCGTTTATGTAGAGAACCATACCAAAACAAGTACTTGTATCAAATAAAGACCATTTATTTTTTTAAATACTTAAAAATGTTCCTTCTCCAAACAGTGGACAGTTCTTTCCACTGACTAGTTAAGCTTTTGAGTTCTCTGGTGAGAAAACTGTGATATTAAAAAAAATGTTTAATGTCTAGAAAGTATTAAACTAATTTTTCTTATATGAAATGTGTTTTAAAACTTATAATTTAGCATGTGGTGTAAAAAATTGAAAATGTGTAAAACTTTAAGCTGCTTCATGTCCATGAAATAGACTTGAAAACAGTGAGGTCTTTGCGAGCATGTGCAGATTTCAAGGGCATCCTTTGGTTGTTGAATTTTTTTCTTGCCTGTCATTTATATAGTTTTCTTAATTTTTCAATTTACAGGAACGTTGATCATCTTTTAAAACTAATACATTTCTACGTTGTCATTGAAATAGTTGAACAAATCTTCACTTGGCCTTCTTACCTTTTATAAAGCATGTTGCAGGCTGTGATCTCACTTCTTGGCTAAATATTATTTCAGACAAAAGTTTCCGTTAGGCATTTCTGTTTGGTTTTCTGGACCTAGGTTTCCACTTAAGAGTGTTCACAAATGATTAGAAGAATCCCATCATTCAACCTTCACAAGTTGCTCATAACAAAAATTACTAGTTGCTTTGAGTTGCTTTTGTTTACCTCTTCTGTCGCCTCCGTTGTTGATTCAAGACTCCTGGCCAGCAGGGAGGCAGGCTGCAAGAGGGAAATAGAGGCTTTATGGTTATCTGCGCAATGCTTACCGAGAATTTCATGTTTTAGTAAGAAGTGAAATCTAAGTATAAATGTAAAGAGACCACTGTTTCACAGACTAATAGAAAGCTTATTTACTTAGTGGTCTTACCTCTTTTGTGTTTGCTTTATAGGACTTGTTATTGTTTTGACATCTGCTTATGGTGTGCTAATCTTGAAAATGCCAAAAGTATGCACTTTAGTAACTTCATTTGTAACTAAGTGATATCATTTGTTTTATGACAGTCCAACAATAATTTCTGTGATATTATAGCCACCCTACCATTTAGTCATTTATAAAACTCACTGTGATCTGTTATTTAAGATTAATTGTTAATAGTGATATATACTGATTTTATGGAAGAAAATTGCATGGTAGGTATACTTTTAATACAAAGAAAACAACTTAATGACAAAATTTGCTTTTTGAAGATCAACAAATTAAATTCCTGAGTAGTTTGCCATAGAGATAACTAAAAAGAAGAAAAAGAAAGATGGGACAATTAGAATGCAGCTAACAAACGCCTGGACCCAGCTGTCCAAACAGGATTAATGGAGCGCATTAGGGTACAGTGAGTCATGTGGCGCTTTGCAAAATATCAACACGCACTGCATTACAGGTTATGCCCAGTGGCACTGAATAGATGAAAAGAAGTAAATACGTTAAACAGATTCATGGAGGCTTTTCACAGTATTAAAAAAGCAAATTTCTGGACTAAAAGAAGCAGCTTTATTTTAGTATTATGGGAAATGCAAACTAGAGAGTTACTTTGTAATTCCTCTATTAACCCTTTAGGACTGAGCCTTTGATTTTTAAGAAGATAAAATGTGGAGAATTGTCATGAATGTTATCCTGGTGTATAACAGGGTTTTGATTTACCAGCTGAAAAGCTCATAAGCCTAGAATAGAGGATGTGTTTCACAACCACATTCCAAGCTGTGAAAGTTTTCACTCTTTCTCTTTGCCTCTCCCAAGGAAAGCCTGACCCTTAGGATGTTCTCATCTGTCCCTGGGAATCCCACGAGCAGCACCCCATCACTTACAGTGAAATGAGAAATGAAATAGCAAAGAAAAATCCAACATTACCTATATATGAGCAGCTTTTCTCTTATTTCAGCAATTTGTCAGTGATAGTTTTTACTTTAATTGTAAATTGAAAATACATTGAGTCCTGTATAAAATAATTAATTTGGTGATATTTTTGCTTCAAAAATGAAAGTGTTATATGAATTTTATGGTTTTTGGCTTTTTAATTTGCTAGCTGGTGTTACTGGTTCAACGGAGGCAGCATTAAACTCTAGCTTTAGACTTCCGTGCCTAGTGTGATAGGACACATTCATTAAAGAAGTCCTTTGATCAGCTGCTTATATTTGAATATGGAAAAATTTGTACTAATTGAAAAATTGCCACAGAGTAGATTTTATAAGCGTATCACTTGACAACTAAGAATTAAGTTGTGAGGACGATTTTGACCATGTATTTTTGGCTAAATATAATTAATGTAAATGATGGTTTTGTTGTCTATAGGAAACACAAAGAATCTGAGCTTAACATTTCTTACTCAAACTCTTTAAAGCCCTTTAAAAAAGTAATGCCATGTCAGTGCATATGATTTCCAAAACATTGCTTTGCTGCCTATTTAGACTTTAGTTTTGAAGAATCCAACATTTTGGGGGACTTGATGTCTGTATGTGCAGTAAACAGTTTACTGTTTGCTTTGACCCTGACTAGAGGAGGTGGCTGGCGAACAAGGTGAAAATAGAACAGGACCAAGCCTAAGGAACTCTCTGTAGATGCCCAAACTTTTCTGCAATAAAATATTTTAAAAGCAGCAATGAATTCTGTAAGAACAGAATTTGTAAGATTGCTGACATGCTCTTTATTATGCTTAATCAAGAAACTACTGAGAGATGGACCTTTTTTCACATTGTTACTTGCAATCTCCTTTAACAGGGAAAATTTTTCTCAAATGTAACCAACAGGCTTTGCAATACTGTTACTAATTTCTTTTTTAAAATTGTTTTTATAGTTATTCGGCTATCCTGAAGCTCTTTCTGTAACTTGTAAATTATAAAAGGCCCAAATGCAGAGTTTTAAAAGAAAATGTACTTAGGATACTAAAACAAGAACATTTACCCCTTTGAATCACCTTGAATTTATTTTTTAGTACTTCCATGTATTTCTCTGGGTCCCATCTAGTCCCTCATCTTGCAGGAGATAAAGTGGATTACTCTTTTGTTCCTTGATGAAGGGAACCTGTTTAAAAACTGGTCCCTCTTGGAGAGGTCTTGATTTCGGGTTTCATAAATATACTATTAATCTTTACCCTGGGCCAGTTCTCCAATTCTCAGTGTAAAACAAAAGTGAATGATGCTTAGAAATGACAAATGCAAAATAGAAGTATAAATCATAATATGTATTCCTAACTATGACTTTGATTAAAAATAATTTTAAACGCCTTCTTGACAAATTCTGTATGACTTACTTATATTCAGTTATATTGCAGAGAGAGAGTGGCACTAATTGATTTTTGGTTGATTACTATTGTTCTTATATCTGAACAATAAATTTGTATATCTAGTTATGATTTTTAATAATAAAGAGAAAGTTATTGTGTGTCAGATGTCTAAAAGTTAAGAGACTAACTAATGCTCAATCCTTAAATGCTCTTTATTCCCAGTATCTACTTGTTATATTCTTCTGGTGCCACTCTTATTTCAGGGAACATAGTCCTGTCTGAGAAAATGTCATGTTGGCCACACATTACATTACCTAAATAATATAGCCATCTGTTGACATACATCCAAATATTTTAAATTTTAGTTTGTTAATAAAATATTTTTATATGAAAATAATTCTAGTTAGGATAATTTAGCTAGAAGGAGGCTTAAGATGTAATCCTTAAAATGTTAAAATTAAAAACCAGACAGTAAGCTATAATAAAGGTCTACTTTGTACTAAGAAAAAAGGCCTCTAGCCTGGCTGAGAATACTTCATAGCACTCCTGCGCACAGTCAGTTCTGAGACCGGTGAATATATTATCTCCTTATTTGTAGGAGATTTTATTTTAAAATTAATTTTAATTATATAAGTATAGACATGAATAAATTCTCCTTATAAAGAATACTAAAATTAGAGATCAGGCTACAATTCCTTGTGACCGCCAGTTTTACTCCCAGTTCCCTCTTCAGAGTATCCAGGTCTTCAGATCCTCTTCTGTGCATCTGTAGACATACCTGGTGCCTCTGTAGGAAATGTGAAATCCTCACCTGGGGTTACCGGGGTGCTGACTCTGGTCATCGTTCTTGTTCCTTCTGTTGACTCCTGACCTCAGTGTGCTGTCTAGTAGGAGCTGAACTCATTTCCTCTACTGGAACTCAGTCATCTGAAAATGAATTTCAGACCCCCAAAAATTATCTCTTTCTGTTCAGGTCACCAGTGACCTCTTAATTGTCCCATCTTGTGGATTCTGTTTTTGTCTGAATTGCTCCATGGCATTTGCTGTTTGTAATCCCACTTCCCGTATCTCTTCTTTCTCTATTTCTGGTCCCCATTCCCCTGTTTCTTTCTTCTCCTCTGGCCATCCCGTAACTGTGTTTTACTGCTCCTCAGCATAGCTGTACACTTGTCCCCAAACCCAAACCTCCAACCCAGCACACACCCCTGAGCGAAGAACAGATAATCCCAACTCTGTGCTCCGTTGTGGGTGCCATCCCACACTGGTCGTTTCTACAGCAGGACCCACACTTGTGTGTGTGTCTCTCTCTGTCCCTCCCTCCCTCCTTCCCTCTTGCTGCCCGTTCTCTTCCCTCCCTCTTTCGCTCCTCTGTATCCCTTCAGTCCTTCGCCACTTTCTATCTAACAGGCCAAAACAGAAACCTGAGAGTTATGTTAGATGCCTCTACTTCTTCATGCTGACACCTAATGGTGATACTCAGTTTCATCCTGTTAACATTTCTCACATTTGCTTCTTCCTTCCCATTTCCCTTACAAAAAAGTGAAAAGAATCAGACTCCTATAAACATCCAAGCAGAGAGCTGAGTATATGATTTTATTTTTAATACTTTATTGTTAGGGAATGTTAATGAAGTAGATTCTAAACAGGTGTTCTTTTCTTTGAGGAGAATAGAGTAAGAAGTGAAACCAAAGCAAATGAACTGAAGAAGTATTTACTTTTCCAAGTCTGGAAGTATTATTGAGGGACACTGTGGAGGCTCCATCTCTGGATGTTTTCTTCAGGAAGAGAGGAGACAGTTCCTGTCCAATTTTGGGGGGGCTTAAACGTTTACCTATTTGAAAATCAGCACTTAGGTGCTTCTTGGACAGTGATTTTCATTCCCATTCACTGGCTTTTAGTTTATTAAAATTCACATAGTCTCGTTGATCTGGCCTACCAATTAAGTTGCCTTCATATTAGGACAAAATGAATTTGTAGCATGTAAACAGTTGTGACTAAAATTGGTTTGATATTTGCAAACACACTTGCCCGCTCTGAGCTTTGGTTCACATTGCTATCACCTCTCTCCTCACCTGTCTACCTGTCCAGTTCCTCCTCATCCTCTAAGGCCAGGTCACAGGCTGGTCATACACAAAGCTCTCAGATTCTTCTGTATTCAGCCTTGTGTTATACTTACCTGTATCTATTGGCTTTCTCAAGAAACTTTACATCCTTTAAAGGACAAGACCATATTTTATGTATCTTTTTATCCCTTCCAGAATCTAGTTAATAAATATTTGTGGTGTCAGTGGGTGCCCCGTGTTGAGTGTGGACTTTGGTCTTGGAATAGGTGAATTAAGAAATCGGGTGTCTTGCTTCCATCCTGATCGCCTTTATTTCCATGTTTCAAGCTTGTTTGACCCAAGTTAGTTTTATTATTTTAAAAGACCTTTATTATTATAAGGTAGAAACAACTCAAGAGTTCATTGACAGATAAATGCATAAACAAATTGTGGTCCAATACATACAGGGGAATATTATTCAGCCATAAAAAGGAATGAAGTCTAAGTGAAATAAGCCAGTCACAAAAAAACGAATACTGTGTGATTTCTCCTTACATGAGGTCCCTACGGTCATCTAAATCATAGCGACAGAAGGGGGAATGGTGGTTGCCAGGATCTGGGGGGGAGAGGAAAATGGGGAGTTGTTCTTTAATGGGTACAGTTTCAATTTTGCAAGATGAAAGTTCTGGAGGTTAGTTGTACAATAGCGTGAATGTACTTTACACTTAAAAATGGTTCAGATGGGGGTGCCTGGGTGGCTCAGTTGGTTAAGCGACTGCCTTCGACTCAGGTCATGATCCTGGAGTCCCGGGATCGAGTCCCACATCGGGCTCCCTGCTCGGCCGGGAGTCTGCTTCTCCCTCTCCCACTCCCCGTTTGTGTTCCCTCTCTCGCTGTGTCTTTCTCTGTCAAATAAATAAATAAAATCTTAAAAAAAAAAAAAGGTTCAGATGGTAAATTCTGTGTTGTGTGTGTTTTACCACAATTAAATAAAAGAAAAGAGTGGTGTACTGATACAACATGGATGAACCTTTTTTTTTCTTTTTTTTCTTTTTAAAGATTTTATTTATTTGAGAGAGAGAATGAGACAGAGAGAGAGAGCATGAGATGGGGGAGGATGAGGGAGAAGCAGACTCCCTGCTGAGCAGGGAGCCCGATGTGGGACTCGATCCCGGGACTCCAGGATCATGGCCTGAGCCGAAGGCAGTCACTTAACCAACTGAGCCACCCAGGCGCCCCAACATGGATGAACCTTGAAAACATGATCCTAAGTGAAATAAGTCAGGCACAAAAAGCCACATGTTGTAATATTCCATTTATATGAAATGTCCTGAGTAGGGAACTTGACAGGGAGAGAAAGTAGGTTAGTGGTTGCCAGGGATTGGGAGGAGGGGTGATGGGGACTGCTTAATGGGTCTGGGGTTTCACTTTGGGGTGATGAAAGTGTTTTGGAACTGGATAGATTTACACAACATTGTGAATGTACTCAGTGCACTGGATTGTTTACTTTAAAATCGTTAATTTTATGATATGTGAATTT